ATGCGTAGGCTGCCTGGTCCGTAACTCCCTGGTGCACAGCGGTGAGTGGGAACAACTAACTGGCGCAATTCGATCAGGCTGTGGCTGACTGGGAGAGAAGCTGGGCCTCTTATATAAGCTTGCATATATAAGGAACAGAGAAGAAGAGGCAGCATGGGAAGAGGCAGCAACAAGAAAGGCTCCTCGGCCCCCAATTCTGAGAAACAGGCAATAGCAGACACCACACCAATACACATAAGGCACCATATAGAGAGCCTCATAGACCAATTCAGGAATGAAGTTATCAATGACCTGAAGCTAGAAGTATGCAGAATAGTTAGAGAAATGCTAAGTACCACCCAAGAAAAAACAGGTGGTGGAATGGAAGAACAGAAAAAAAGGGGAGAATTGTTTGATGGAGAAAACAGAGAAAGCATAGAATACGTGAAGCAGGTTCAAAGGGACTACCAAGATACTAAGAAGTCTATAGAAGACTGGCATAACAGCTTGAAAGAAACTAAGGACAGACTATCTGAACTGGAGGGCAGACTTGTAATATGGGAGAATGAAATGAAAAACTTCTTAAAAATAACAAAGAAACAAACAGCAATAATACAAAGACAAGAAGATGATAAGAGGATCCATAACTTAAGGATTAAGAACATAAAAGAAGAAGTAGGGACACAAACAAGTGAACTACAAAAGCTACTCACAGAAATAATCCAGGAAAATTTTCCTAATTTAGCAAAAGGTAAAGATACTCGGATGTATGAGGCATACAGGACCCCAGCTACCTACAACCCAAACAGAGCAACACCCAGGCATATAATAATAAAAATTCCAGAAATTCAATACAAGAACAGAATATTAAAAGCTGTAAGAGACAAGAAACAGACCACCTACAAGGGAACACCCATCAGAATTACAGCAGATTTCTCTGCACAAACCATCAAATCACGAAGAGCGTGGGGGGAAATAATTCAAGCATTGAAAGATAATAATCTCCAGCCAAGATTGAGATATCCTGCACAACTGTCCCTGGAAATTGATGGAAAAACAAGGTGCTTCCAGGATAAAGAGGAACTGGGGGAATTTGCAACCACCAATTCAACTCTACAGAGAGTATTGCAGGATATTCTAAAAAAAGAAAAATACAAAGAATCCAGAAATAATGGCAGAGAGGCCACAACGAATGGAGCAGAGAACAAAATGAAGAAGACAAACTGACAGCTACGGACAGAAAAAGAGCTTAACAGAAATGAGGCAGAGAAGATTGGATGATAGGAACAGCTATTTTGGAGAAAATGACATCTTAATAGGTAATACAGATTTAGTATCATCTTGTTTTGAAGTCTCATCTAGCTTTTGTCCTTCTGTCTCCAATGGTCTAAATAGGCTGTATCTTATTGGATTTTATTATGTACGATAGTATAAGCAAAAACCTTTTAAAGACAAGGAGATTATACAGAAACCATTGTTCATTTTGTTAGTCGATTCTAAATACTCTGTAATGCTGTCATTCTCTTGAATGGTTTTACATTGTTTTGATATACTTAATGCTACAGTATACGAAGTTGTACTCAAGGATTTCAAAGAAAGAAACAATATGGTAACTACTTTTAGGTTAGGATTATCTGGTGGTGAAACACTATTCTGCTTAAATGGTTATGTTTTGATCTGCGCTGTTTCGTTGTTATGCCCTCTTTTATCTCAATCTCCACTCCATTATTTACTTTTTTATCTTTATCCTTTTAATTAAAGGGAAAAAAATAGCAGGATATATTATAGTAACCCACTTTGACTTTTCATTACCTTGATTTAAAGCCCTGTATTATTCTCACCATCTGGTTTTTAACTGATGTTCCCCTATTCTGTTTTGCTGGATAGTATCAGGTTCGAAAGTTTAGGCATCAGCTGTGAAGATAATGAGATTCATTATGACGCCCATTCTTGTTGACTTTTGTCTACTTTTGAAGACCTACAATGTCTCCAATGTTTTGGTTTTGTCGGTTTTGTTCTTTACTGTTTTGTTCAATTGTATTATAACTAATGATATAGGCAATTCTATTAGAAATAGCGGGAGGCATTATGGTAACCATTGTTGATCACCTTGTATTATGTTTTTATATTATCTATTATGTCCACCCTTTTGACTTGACCGATTCTGTTCTGTTATGTCACATTTGGTTTTACTCTCTTCCAAAAAAGCAACAAGAACCGTGGGAGCAATGAAACCCAAAATGTGTAATAGTCACTGTACAAAAGAGAGGAAAAGAAAGTGCTCTAAACTATATAACTGCATGTATATTTAAATGTATAAGATAGAAAATGATATCACAGAGTTTTATTGGATCATTGAACAGAACTGTTTGCAGTATCATTGTTGGAATGTCCACTCTACAAGCTTTAATTTTGTGACTTAAACAATTATTTCTAAGATGGCAATATGTAATCCATTAACTAGTGATTTCCTACTGCGCATTTTTTTATTCTGTAAATCTGTATAACTTGTACCCCTTCACTGTTTTTTTTTTCTTTCTTTTCTTTTCTCCTTAAATAAAAATAAAAAAAATAAAAAAATTTAAAAAAAAAAAAAAAAAAAAAAAAGCATACACTGCTTTTGTATGGTTCTGCTTGTATTCTATAAGAGACAAAACTAAACTGTGGTGAAAAACAACTACAAATAACCCAGCCCTGGTGACAGATGAGGAGCTGGAGGCAGAACAGAAGTGGAATGTAATGAGACTTGCAGTTGCTTCGAATTGCAGCAACTACAATGATAATGGATTGATGGACACACAACAGGGTATATCTGGGGGGAAAAAGTCAGAGCTGGTGGTTATTCAAATCCGCATTGTTCATGTTTTCTAATATCCTGTAGGTCTGCAAATTGTATAATGATGTTTTAAAATCATAATGTCAGGAAAAAATTATTAAAAAGCACAAAAGAATATCATTTAGTGGTTTTTGTGATGCAGTATTCTTTTAAGCACTGAATATCTTTAGGCATTTTAAGCATTGCCTTTTCTCAGAATCCTGGATAGAAGACATTTAAAATAATAAACGCATAAGGATTTCTGAGTTTGTAGTGTGTTACATGAATTGTTATCAAATTAAATTTGTAATTAAAGCCTACTTGACACCATATTTTTGACCACACATCATTTCATTTTCTTTTGTTAATCTCCATAAACTATCCTTTAGAAAAGGCAATTTCTAAAATATAAAGAGAAGTAACAAGCTGGTAATAGAATTCAGTTAAGAAGAACATGCCATTTTTATGAACCCTGTTAACAGATAAGAAGCATTTTTGAAAACCTTGACTTTGGGATACAAATAATATCACCTTGACTTTTTATAGTCTATTGAGACTGTGAAAATTATTGGAATTCAGGAAGACTGAATTTAAAAGTGAACAAGACAAATTAGAGCATTGTACTTTTTCAAAAGCACCAAATTCAGAGGAATATGTACAGAACTATGCCCTTCAGAACCATGTGTGAAATGAAAAAGGACCCATTTTTTAAGGACTCTAACTGGTCATTTTTCACTGACTATTGGTCTCTTATCCTATGGTTAGATTCAGCTTGCATATATACTTTTTAAGTAATATGGAGAAATAAGTCAAGGTTTAAAGAGGATCAGGGAGATTAAAATAATGAAAAACTGGCCCATCTGAGAGGAGAAATTCTGCAGACTCTTCTATGATTGAAAGGTTAATCAAGTGCTTGATTACTGTTTTCAATTACATGACATGTTTCTATGAAAAGAGTCTCTAAAAACACCAAGGAAAGGAATTAAATTAAGAAGAAATAGTCTAATTGTACAGTGGAAGAATCTCCTGACTTTGAGGTCAATTAGACACTGGAATAATCATCAAGAGATATTTGGAATTCTACATCCCTGGAGAATTACAAAAACAAAATATAAATTCTGAATAGTTTGATATTGACCTGACACTGGTTGAGGACTAATTCAGAAGACTCCCAAAAGCCCCCTCTTGGGTCTTCAATCTCATAATAATGTTCCATCCTACAATAATAATTTGAAATACAACTTGCTACTAATTTACATTGTTCTGGGCTTTGCATGACTTTAAATACACTTAAAAGTGACTGTATTAATGTTTCTTCTCATTGTGCTTGTCTCTTAATAAATGAATGTATATTGTTGTGGTGACTGTAATGTTCCTTTTAATTTACTTCCTGTATTTTCATAATTATTATGAAATATTTATACAGTAGTCCCCCCATATTCTCTGGGAATATTGTGTCCAGAACCTCCTTGGATGCCTGAAATTGCAAACAATGCCAAACCTTACATATATCATCTTTCCCCGGACTTACATAGCCAGTTTAATTTATGTTAGTCATAGTAAAAAATCAATAACTAGTCATAAAATAGAACTATTATAACAAAAGTTCTGTCACTATAACAGAAGCTGCTTTAATAAGACTATAGTAAACTATAATAAAAGTTATGCTAATATGGTCTCTTTCTTTTGAGAGGTCAAGACATATTGTCAGACCCAGTTGACTTGAGGCAATTAAAATTCCACAAAAACATGAATAAGAGGCAATTACTACAGTGATTCTCTCATTTTTCTCTTTAATGTTATACCAATATTGTTATAAGGCTGATTTTGTATTTACCACTCTGATAGTCATGGGCATTTTCTTTCTGTGAGATGATCCTTATCTGAATCTGTTTAGTGTGCTCTGCCATCTTATCCTACTATATCTCCAGGGCCAGTTAGAACTGAGATAAAACTGGCATCCTGGAAAATGATGTATCTTCCTTTGAAAAGTCAATATGGCAGAATCCCATTTTTTAATTAGCACATGTTTGCAGTACACAGTGATTCCAGTTATGGTGAGAAGTTGGTATATGTACATAACGCATCTTCTTTTTTTTCATTCCCCACCCTTCCCAGAATCCTCTTTTGCTTGCTCCGTTGTGGTCTCTCTTTTTAGGTTTCTTACTCTTATTCCTTGACTCACTTCCATTCTTCTCCATTGCAGAGCAAAACTTGCTTCCTGTTGTGATGCTATTCAAAATTTCGTGGTTTCGCAAAATAACACTCCAATTGGAACTAACATGAGTTATGAAGTGGAAAGCAAAAAAGAAATCCCGATTAGAGAAAGCATTTTTCATATGTTTCCTGTGGTGAGTAAAGGTTTATTACAGCTTTCTTCTCACTTTAAGTTGTAATTTATAGGGATAAATGAGTGAATCAATAAATGCTTTAAAAACTACTATATTTGTTTACATTGCATAAAATATGCATGATGGAGCATTTTTTAAAAGGCAATTTTTATTTACTTTTTTTCCTATTCTGGAGATCAAACCCAGGGTCTCATACATAGTAGGCAAATTTTTACTGAGCTATACTTTTGGGCCCTCAAAAGGCAGTTTTAATGAGATCTGGCTTTTCAGGGAAGGACATTTATCCTTTAAATGATGGGCCGTTCTGGTATTTTAGCGTTCCAGATTCTTTCTGCATCATGATCACTGGGGCTTGTGAATATAATCTTATCTTGGGAACTATGTAATCAACTATGGCCAATAAATATAGCATCCATAATGCAAGAATTATCATCTTCTGTGTTTGCTGATATATCTTATGCTCCTAGAACATTTTTCAGTACATATATCCCACCATTGCATGACTGCTACATTAAAAAGTCAAGGGGGCTGGGGATTTAGCTCAGCGGCATAAGCGCCTGCCTTGTAAGCAGGCAGTCGTGAGTTCGATCCCTGGTACCGATAAAAAAGAAAAAGACAAAAAAAAAAGTCAAGATATGATATATTACTGCTTCACACAATGAAGAGAAACTTGTTGCCTAATCCAAATTTGAAAAATTGTTTTTTTATGAAGATCATTCTGTTACGTATTAACATACACTCCCAGGCATTTGGAAATCATCTGTTTAAAAGCAACCAAGCTCCTGGAGAGGTAACACATGCCCAACATGAATTAGTTCCTGGGTTTTATCCCCAGTATAAAAAAAGGCAACTAGGCCAAGTTAATATGGTCAAGAACAGAATCATTGTATATATGAAGTTTGCCAACTGTAGAAAGTAGATTCTTGTGATTAATTCTCTTTGGTTGGACTTTTGATTTCTTTGAACTTATTGCTGCTCATATAAATTTAGCACTGCAATTCAAAGGAAGAATAATTTACTTAGAATAAATGAGAAAATAGTAAAGAAAAATACTTCACATTATTTGGAAGAAAAAAGAGTCAAAAATAACAAAGTAAGCAATGGTCAAGGCTATCTAAAAGACAAAATTTGATCTTTTGAATTGATCAACAAAATGTACTTTATTAAAGGTACTTGTATATCAATAAAGTTCATTTAAGAAAATAACCCTGATAAGCTGTGATGCATTGAATCACCAATAATTGTGAAGATAAATTACAAAAGAATATTTCCATTGGAGTGTTGTATACTGGGCCACTTTGCACATGTGGCTGTCTTTGTTAGTATCTGACTTTTCGTAACTAGCACACAGGAGCCACATCTGTTATGTCTCTCTCTTTGCATAAAGGAAAAGCTTAACATAATGCTGTAGCTACGGTTTGTAAGGGAGTGGATTTAATACAGGACACATAATTTGTAGGATTATTTTATTATATTCATCCAAAAAGTCAAATGCAGAAAAGTGCAAGAGATCTGTCCACACAGTAGAGACCCAAAGAGTCCAGCTGAGGGCCTGCATCCCACACCAACATCTTGTGCAAGTCCATTTGAAGACCCATAGCAATGTCCTCCATGAGTTCACCTCAAAGCTTAGAACCCATGTCAATGTCTCATGCAAGTCTGTACCAAGGATTTGCGTTGATGAGGCCTAAAGGCCAGTAATAGAAGCTATAAAGTCTGTGCAAGTGGGGTGAAGGTCTGTACTGGAAGGTTAAGGGATCTGCACTGAAGCCAAGAAACAACACTCAAAGTAAGGATCAAAGCTCCCCTGAGGAGAACTGCAGACACTCTCAGCTTCAGTGAGGACCTAAAGCTCCTCCAGCAGTGAGAACAGCTGAGTTCATATCAGGAAAACCAGTATGACGAACTTCTCCAGGAGAATCGGCAGCATGCCATCTTCCCCTCCGGTTTTCCTTATATACTGTTGGTGACAATCCTCAAGTGGGCCTTCCACACCCAGAAACACACATAGCATTGATCATTTTTTATGTAGTTTAATGTCTGCATCCATTGTCCCAAGTTTATGTTGAGTTTTTAAAATGGGAAAAAGAAATTCTGCAACCAATACAGTAACAATTGCAATGCCACATCACTTTTATTTTTTTCTCCACATCACTTTTTATGTGGCTTCAATCTTCAGCTTCCACGGATGGGGCCTGTGGTGGAGTTGACATCTTTCTTACCTTACTTCCTGTCTGTCCACCCCATTCCACTCCACCCTCCTGCACACATGACTTCCTGCACCAGCCAGGCATACAACAGATTGCAACGAATACTTTTGATTAAACAGTGTGAAGCTTCTTACAAAAACTTTGCAAAGTTATTTAAAGAGCAAAATAACAAAGTTGATTTTCAGCCAGAGCAAGCAATGAGCAGGCAATTCAACTGTGCAAATGTATGTTTTTCTTGCAAAGTTTATTTTAAGCAACATTGGAATTTGTAATTTATTTCAACTCCTACTAAATATGAGATCCCAACCTTTCCCCCCCCAGTTGACCAAGAAACCAGAGAAAACATTCATTATTCTGAGTGCTTAATTTGAGAAATGCTACCCTCAATAATCCTTTCTATTGTAACGTAAAGAGCATATTTGCATTTTTTTATTCTACCCTATCTATAAAATTCAGAATCATAGTACCACTGAGCAAAAACACTATCTGAAGACATCCTGAACTAGAAGTTCCTTGACATGAAATAGCTCCAACTATCTGAAAGCCATTCATTTAAAACCCGGGTATTAAGCTGGGCATTGTGGATGTTAAAGAAAATATGGAATGGCATGAAGTTAACATTTTAATCCAGTGACTAGTAAGAAACTGGATTGTGTACTGGTTACATAGTGCAGAGCTGGATCCTGTGGAGCAAATCTCGTAGGTTGTTAACTCAGCTCTGCCTCTCTCTAACTATTGCTTACAGTTGTGCCTCCATTGTCTCAGCCCTGTAATACTCAGAAGGTGGTTGTGGGGATTAAATGTGCTAGTAAATTATGCACTGAACAATGCTTGTCCCACAGGAAGCATCATATGACTGTTGCACTTTACAAACAAGCCTGTTGAGAGAAGTGCTAATGCAGGGTTCTCTGCTTGTTGGGCATCTCCCACATGCAACATGAGGAGCAGGTGGCAGACTGTGGTTCAAGGATCTGCTGGGTTTTGGGTTACTTAGAATACCAGCCCTGAGCTGTTGCCAGTAGTGAACTAGCTTTGGAGAGGGATATGCCTTGATTTTACAGCCTCTGCCACTTTCAGTGGTTTAAATGCCAACACCATGGCTGATTTCAAGTTATCAGCGATATAATTGCTGCTTAAGAAGTTCCTGAATGTTGCCCGGTTGGCTCTTGCACCTTATTCATTCAAGCAGCTCGAGTGCCTTGCTGGGAAGGGGTGGAGACCACTGGACCAGCAGTGCTTATCAGGCACTCCCTGTGCACTCTGCACTCTGCTAACATGGAGGAAGAGAGATGAGAAAATGAAAAACTAAGAAGCACCCTTTCTGTCCTTAAGAATTTACATTCTCTTGTTGAGACAAAATAGTACATTGGGAGCTCATTGCTGTGGTGTATGAGCTGGCACCTTCCTGTGGGCTAAAGGGCATATTACTATTTGAGGGGATGTGGTTAGAAAAAGCAAAATGCACTATGGGGTCAGAAAGTTGTATTCCAGGTTGCAGAGGAATTGGGGGAAATGAGAAACCTATTGGGGTACACTGGGGGAGGGGAGTCCTATAAGGAAATGAAAAATAGTCAGGTCTCAAAAATTAACTTGAAACATATCACCTGAAGTTGGTCAGCCATCCCAAAACACACCAGCTGGTCATTTGCAGAGATGGCAAGCATAAATCTAGTGCCCTTACAGAGCCTGAAGGCCCAACTACTTAAAACGCACAGGAAACTTTTGCTAAATTACCTATTATTTTTATGGCTTAGAATAAAAGATTTAATGCTACTTTCTAATTTCATGCCTTTTTCTCTCTCTCTCTTTGCTAAAAAAAGTCCTTGTTTGTTAAGATATTATGTTGAATTTTGCTGTTCTTTTATTATGTGATATATTTTATATGTAAATATGTTCATAAGCTCACATTTTATTATATATTATATATTTGTTCTCAATAGAGATGAAACAGATTTACATTTCTTTTTATTATGTCATAATAAATTGTTCAGCATCCTGTGTTATTCTTTTCATCCTTTTTAAACGCTGCTTTTTTTTCTTGTTTTTCTTTTCCTTAGCGCATATGAAAAGTTATTATAATTAAACTGATGGTGTTAGTGGTCACTAACCAGTGGTATTTCACGACAGTTTCACTTTCTCCTGCAGTCCCAGCCTTTTGCGGAGTATCCTTACAATCAGTGTGCTGTGGTTGGAAATGGGGGAATTCTGAATAATTCTCTCTGCGGAGCTGAAATAGATAAGTCTGACTTCGTTTTTAGGTAAGAGTTGTCAATATGGTTTCTTTGAAATCTAAGATAAATTGTTTATTTTAAAGGTGAAATGGAGAGAGAGATACTGTGTGTCGTTTGAGTTTCGAATTGTTGTTCCTAATGTCCACAAACTACTACCCAGGTTAGGCTTTCTTAGAGTATTATATGGCTTTCAAGTTTCTGCGAGTGGTCATATCAGGATGATAAGAAGGTGCTTTGGTCATCTACCTTTAGGAAATAAGGTGAAGTCAAGGTGAAAAAAGGCTTGAGACCGCAGAACTCATCAGAGCCTTCAGTGTTTGAACAGCTACCTCAGAAAGACTCCAGGAAGGAATATTTTCCAGATTCACCAAGGCCGACCTAGAAGCCTTGCAGGATGTCATTCTGCAGTATTACTAGGGGAAATGCATTTTACAGCAATGCAACATCATTGTTTAGTTTTCTAGGTTGCTATTAAAAATATTTTATACATCTTTTATGTTATGGTCTTCTAAAACATTATCTTAGTACCAGCTAAGATAACAAAATACAAATATAAATAGTTTTGAGGTGTACCTTATACTAATAAGCCATTCCACAAAGCATCTCCACTTTCAGAATATGCTAGAAAGGTGATTCATCCATCTGAGAATGAATTTTAGCTGCAATACACCTTTTTATTTTTATTACTTTTTTGGTACCATAAATTAAACTCAAGGCCTCACCCTTGCCAGGCAGGCACAGTGCTACTGAGCTACATCCCCAGCCCTGAAATACAACTTTAAAAAAAGTAGATATCTGTTTCTTTGTGTTTTAGGAGCACTGATTTCATACAGCAGAGATCCATTGGTCCCTGTCTACTTCATGCTATCCTTTCTGCAATTTTTAAGTGAGATTTTCCATAAATACTGTGCCAAAGATCCTCCTTCACTATAACCCCATTTTAAAATCTTATGCCGAAGGTGATGACAGATCAACAGTAGACCTCACAGTACAACAATTATTGAATGCATTCTTCATGATCATTATTAAGATGGTCAGAATGTGATTGGGTTAGCCATTTTGTTCAAGTTCTCAGTGTGAAAAAGAACCATAATGAAGACAAATAATTCTGCATGTAATAGACCTTTTGTAGACTTAAAATTTCAAAACATCTGTGGTGAGTATTCTGCCTAAACATTAATTTTACTTTATAGTAACTGTAAAAAATGTAAGGTTTGATTTAAAAAAATGCCAGCAGCTATTTGATTTATAACTCTAAAATATCTGTAAATGCCTGTATTTCTGGATTCTACTTTTTCTGATGCCAGGTATTTTTATGAATATAGAGTTCCCTTAAAACTCGGATAAACTTAATGAGAAAGTTAGGAATAGATATGGCTGGGGTCATTAGAAGACATTTAATTTTTAAGCCCATACTTGTTTCAACTACATATGTTGATTATAAAATAATTTAAAAGTTATTTATTATTTTTTATTCCAAAAGCTTAGTTGTTGTCGAAGATGTAAAGAGCAAAATATGTGACTATATATTAATGTATATAATTATAGCTATATTAATGCATACAATGTATAATGTATACAATTAATATAATATACATTATATATGTGTACAATGGGATTAGGTACACAAGAAACATTAGAAAGGATGTTGACAAATCTTGTGACTATAAATCCATATATATATGGCCATTGTATCTGTTTTATGTATATATATATATATATATATATATATATATATAGCACCATAAATATGTGCCTGTCCTGTATTTCCACTAGGAGTCTCCTGTTATCCTATATTGGAAATCACTTTTAATCCTTCAAAAGAACATGAGATTATGATTTGTCATAAGAGGCCCACAAATAGGGTCATTTCCCTAGCTTTCTATCTATAATTATCTTTGTTTTCTGAAATGTCTTTTACATCACAGAGGAAAATGTTTGCTTCACTTATTAATATGTTTCATGGGACATGGAATAGAATACTTCAACCTCAGTCATATCAGAGTGTGTCATCTTTAAACAGTCTTCCTAAAAAAGCATTTCATGTCCTTTATTATGTTTAGCTTTAAAGCAATGGGCTACTTGAAATTTAAAATCTGTTTAGGGAGTCATAACCATATTTCTCTTTTTATTTTGTGTGATCTTAGAAAATTAATTTGTTTTCCAAAGTAAAAACAAATTAATGCTCAAAGGAAGATAAGAATATCACTATGAAAACATCACTGTAAGAACATTAGGGCTTTATTTATAAGTATCATAATTTGGTGGTGACATTATCCATATGGGAATCAAGAGATTTTGATGTTTTTATGTAGTCTTTGCCTCTGGTAAATGCTATAACCTTAGTTGTTGTGTTTCAACTTTTTAAAATCTGGAAATTTGTGATCACACCACTGTGGAAATATAATCATAACTGATGATTTTAATGAAAGGATTGGAAACTTTAACAGTTAGGCCCAGTGTCATTGTCATTTCTGGTTTTGATACTTTGAAAAAGTCATTAAAGCTAACTAATAACTTTGTGTATTTAAACAATATTGACATGTCAACCAAGAACTCAGTACTTATGAAAGAGCTTTAAAGGGAAATCCAATGAATTCTGAGGATTTCTTTACAATAATGATATTCTCTACTATAAGGACAGTTATCAGATGTGTATATGTGTGTGTATCTCTATGCACGTGCATACTTGTTCTTTATAAATTGTATTTTGAAAATAGCTTCCCTTCTGTATTTCAGGTGTAACCTCCCTCCAACCACAGGAAACATGAGCAAAGATGTTGGCAGTAAAACAAATCTTGTGACTGTGAATCCCAGTATCATAACAACAAAGTAAGTGCATCCTGGTTACATAACTGTGCGAGAACATTTTTTGTTTAACATGTTTTTCAGTCTAAGTGTTAACCTCGTAGCTGAGGGTGACTTACTCTACAGTTGGAATAGTTTTTGTAAAAAAAAAATGAGTATACATTTGAAAATTTTGACATTCTATCAAGGTAATGGTTTAGCAGAGTATGACTCAGTTGTGTTATCAATGTCATAACTTAGATGAATCAAATGAGAACTCATTTATCTCTTCATCTTTTTAACAGTACCGAAGTGAGTTTCTTTTATTGCCTTTTAGAGTTTTCACATTACTCTTTGAACTTCATAGCTCTTGCTAGATAAAACTTAAGTCTATTTAGAAATTTTGAGCTGCTTGGTAAAATACAATTTTCATTTTGAATAATTTACTACTCCAGAACCAATTTTGTATTTCATTTCTGCAATGTAACTACTTCATAATGTTGACTTGTTCATAAAAGTCACAAACATAGTTTTGCTCCTTTGTTCTCATCAGATATGACTGATGATTGTTATTGATAGAGTATGCCCTTCCAAAGACTCTTCAACTGTCCTGAGAAAAAACAGGAGATTGTGCCTGCCTTCTGAAAGTTGACATTCTAAATAGAATACAATTACGTTAATAGGCACATTCACTAAGGTAGCATTTAAATCATACTTATAGTGAAAGTACTTGCATGGAGGAAATTTATAGTGTAGTAGATATTTCTATCTATATTTTCATATAGAGACTTTAGGTTTTTCAAAGGAAATTTCTATTTTATTACTAAATACATGCAGCCAGTCCACAAACTACCTGTATACAGCTCAGCAAAGTTTTGACAATGTAGATGTATATTGTGCTGCGCTTGGGAAACATTGGTAATAAACTTGAAAGATATTAAATCTTCAAAAATAATTTAGAGAATACCAGAAGTTTGGAAGGTAAAATAATTGAAAGCCTAGGTATTTCAAGAGAAACAAAGATATTCCTTGATACTTACACACATGACACTCCTATGATTTTTCTGAGTCTGTGGCTTATTTCTTATAGATTGGATATAAATAAATGATCTAGGTTTTGTTTTTACCGGAAGTAAATTCAACCTCATGGTACCAAATTTGTTCCACTGATTATTATTATGTTTTTTTTTAATTTGGCAGATATGGGAACTTAAAGGAAAAGAAAGCAGCATTTCTGGAGGACATCGCAACCTACGGAGATGCCTTTCTCCTTCTGCCCGCATTTTCCTTCCAAGCCAACACCGGTGCCTCGTTTAAAGTGTATCACACACTCAAAGAGTCTAAGGCAAGGCAAAAAGTTCTCTTTTTCCATCCCAAGTACCTGAAACATCTTGCCCTCTTCTGGAAATCTAAAGGTGTGACCGCCTTCCGCTTGTCAACCGGCTTGATGATCACAAGTGTTGCAGTGGAGCTGTGTGAGAATGTGAAGCTATATGGCTTTTGGCCCTTCTCCAAAACCGTAGAAGACACACCTGTCAACCATCACTACTATGACAACAAGTTACCTAAACGCGGTTTCCATCAGATGCCCAAAGAATACAGCCAGATCCTCCAACTTCATGTGAAAGGAATCCTCAAAGTACAATTTAGCAAATGTGAAGTAGTATAAACAAAGTTTCTTACAATGAGAATAACGTTTACATAATGCAGGAGGTGAGCCACGTTTCCACACCCTAAAGGAGGTAGCGAATAGGTCCTATAGGAAGAGCCCCACGGCTTGGTTTGACCAAAGCTCTCTCACTAACTGTGTAGCCTCCACATGTCTGTCAATCATTCTAATCTTCAGCTTCCTTTTTTGTAAAAGGAGAATCATGATACTGACTTACAGGAGTAAAAAGGAATAATTTGTGATATTTCCTGGCATAGCATCTGGTGCGAGGTAGGGATTCAATAAATATTTCCTTGTCAATATTAAAAGCAGCCATTTCTACCCTCACCAGAAGGTAAAAGGCATCTTATCTTGGCACCCTTTCTCAAAAAAGCGAATTGCCATATTTATTGCATTTGTTTTTCTTATGGGCTTCACTTTACTAACATCCTTTCCATTTTTCTTTTGTTTCAAAGACTATGTACAATAAAGTTACATAGTTAAACAACAAATATTTGATTATTCAGGAGTAAAAATCTTCTCTTTGTATGGCAGTGTCCCTGCTCCTGATTAATTCACTTGTAATACTAGCTTCGCTGATGTGTTAGATGGATTTTTGCCATTTTTTCATCTATTATCTACATTTTAAATCACACTTTATAATTTTATATGAACTTTCTGTCTCATTTTTATGCCTTTTTCTCTCCCACTGACAGAATCTACTTCAGGGACATAAATAGTTACAGTACCCAGGCTTTTTCACTTGTGTCTTATCGTTCAATTCAATTAAAAAAATATTGAACAGCTACTTTGTCCCAGGCCCTGTACCAGGCTCAGTGAAAGGACTATAAAGACTGCTTCTAGCAGGAAGAAACACATATGCCTATCATTAATGATACAGTAGAGCGAGTGTTATAATAATGATTACGAAAAAAAGTGCTAGACAAGCATAGCAGTCTCTCAGCACACTGTATTTCAATGTGTCGGTTTCAGAAAAGAGGTAATTTTAGAATTAAAACTGTAAAATTGTTTTTCTTCCAAGCGCAAATGATTCTAGGTAGAGATGGGAGGAAAGGCTGTTCATTTGACTCTGATACATCAAAATGAGAATATTTGAAGGTGGATCATGATTTTGCTCCAAAACTGTCACTGAGAGAGGACACCGAGAGAGGATCATGGCAGGGCTCATATCTATAAAACGGGCAGTTTAGACCTGACCAGTTTAATAGATGGGCTTAAGGATGAGAACATACAAAAACTTAATTCACCCCAGGAAAGATACATGCTTATAATGAAAAATAAAACAATGGCTTAGGCATCAGTATAAAATAAACCTCGAGTAGACATTAGAAATTAGCACTTTCTACCACTTTCGTATCTTATGATGACTCTCAAACACTAGCCTCATACGCGGAGTCAGTTACTTGAGTTACGTATGTAATCATGTGTCTGCTTTCCTGCTCATCATTCCTCCTTTGTAAGAAGATTGGAAATCAGAGTATAGACATCAACTTGTCGAAGTAATTATAATTTTTAAATTAATTATCTGAGCCAGAGTATAATCTTACTAAATACACACTGTTTTAAGAACACTGTGCTATGAATTGCTTATTCTATAAAATACATCTTTACTTTGCACTTGACATATGTGATATGTATTTGAGTTCATAATTTCATTTGTTCTTTATAGCAAATGAAGCTTACCAGATTTATAAACTGATTAAAAGTTCATATATGAATATTTTCTAAAAGGAAAATGATTTTTGTTATATAAAATCTGATTTATGTATTGTCTTCCTTTTTATAGAGAATGGGTGGCCTTTTTCTATTGCTTCTAATGGATTTAATTAGTTTTAAGTAATATGTTGGCAGCATTGGTAACGTTTCAATCATGCTACTAACAATGGATTCTTAAAAATAGATGAGAACACCCTAGCATTTCAGAGTTAGTAAAATGATTTCTTTCAAAATGTCTATGACAATTGAAACAAACTATTTCTTTTTGATATTGGAAATATGTGATTGAAGAGTAAAAGTAATCAAATATACTGAAATAAATGATCAAATGTACAAGGTGAAGGCTGTATGTGTTATTTTAATAAAAATTGCATATGATTAAGATATTTAAAGTTTACTTATGCTATTCTGGCATAAGATGTTTTAACTTAAGAAATTCTCTCTAGAATATTAAAATAGAATCTCCAGAAATATCTAAAATAATCTAAGAGCAAGAAGCATAATGATACCCATGATCAAATAAAATTTCAGTAGAAAAACATGTTTGTGGAGAGTTTTTTGGGGAAAAATTACAAACATGCATCTGGAGTTTATTTCTTATTTAATATCGTGTTACCATCCTAAAAGCATTTTAAAAATTTTGCTACTAGACTTGCACTGGCCAAAACTCACTGATCAAAACAAACAAACAAATACCTAGAGATTTCTTAAGCATGTCTCAGTCAGACTAAGTGGCCATTAATCTACACATCTATCAGGGGGCGTTGATAGCCTTTCTTTTGATTTAATCTTGGGAAAATCTTGCAATAATTCGCCATTATAAGAACAAAAAGTTCTATGACTTGTGTTTTACAGTTCACACAACTTATATGCCGAATTGTCTAAATGTACATTCTTTATGTCTCTCCCAAATAGTTCTGTAGTTGTTATTTCACTGAAGGTGAAGGGTATCTGCTGTTATTTGGGGCGCCCCCATGCTGTGCTAGTAGAGTCGCTGTGTTGTAAGCACCTGAAGTGTGTGGGTGGCACAAGTACCTTGTCCACATCATAGTTCCTTCCTGGTACAGCAGGACCTTCCACTTGACCCATTGTGTATGCCAATAATGTCCTTTTGTTCCAAATTATAACATGATTTAGAACTTTCCCAAATATGATAGACCATGAATTTTTACACAGTGGCATATCCACTATATAAATTGTGAACCTGGAGATACAGTTCCTTTCGCTCTCTAATGCAAATTATTGCAAGTTTTCCATAAAGAGCAAAACACAAAGAAAAATTGTGAACTGTTTCTTGTAGACATGGAAATTATCCACCAATAAGTCTGACTGTAACTCTCTTACTGACTGTGAAATGGATTAAGTTTGATCTTTTCCTCTTAAAAGTTCAGGTACACCATTAGGCACTGAAAATGGAGTCTACACACTACCAGTTCTTAAGGGAGAAACAGGCTTATTTGCTTCTATTTTCTAATCCTTTAATAAATTGTTGTATTTACTATATATCTCTCATTTTTTCTTATAAAAAGACTGTTTCTGGAAATAATGATCCAGGATAATGAATGTCAAGACCTCTAGGAGAAAAATGGTAACACTGATCACTGTGTGATAAAGATGTATAAGTTACATATTGGGAAAGGACAAATTCTTTAGCAGATGGCGTAAAAATATTTCTCTATAAATATAAATTGTGTGAAAGCATAAGCAAATACATTTGTACCATGTAAAAAGTTGGACACTGTAGAAATTAAAGATAGATTTAAAAAGTAAAACTATAAAGCTAGGAGAAGAGAATGCAGGAGAACTGTGTCTGACATTTAGGTGAGAAACTGTACTTCTTTAATATGATGTAAAAATAATTTATTAAAGAATCAGGCTAAGAAATGATATGACTATTAAAATGAAAAATTTATAGTCAGTAAATTACACTTAAAAATATATAGGCTGGTGATATATTGCAATAGTTTTAGAATGCATAAAATTAATGACATTAATATAAAACCATTCCATGGGCCTGCAAATCAACAAAAGACAGGAAAGCAAAATGAAAAGCTGAGTAGCTAATAAGAATAATAAATGATACTCAAACATATTAGTAATCTTAGAAGTACTGATTAAAGTTATGTTCTATATCCACCGTATTGAGAAAAACATTAGTGATATGGTTAAATTCATGTGCTTGAACAAGCATAAACTTACAACCCTTTTGGGAAAAAAAACCTGAAAGTATTGAATGAAATTGTTAAGTATTTGTCCTATAATCCAGCAGTCTCACTTTGGGATATATCTCCCAGACAGCCTATGTGATGTTTAAGATATTTAGCTTGTTGCTCATGGCAGCAGACAATTGGATGCACAGATGTCCATCTTTTAGGCTAAGTTTGGTAACTACATAGTGTGGAAACCAGTATACCAGTTAGAAGCAACTTACAGGTATTTAAAGTACAGGAGAGATAGATCGATAAAATTTAGCATAAAAGAAAATATTAGAGCTATAGCGCTATATCATATAATTATCTTAAAGCAAATGCATGCATACATAAATACATGTTGGAGGATGATACAGCAAGCACAATCTACATACCCATTAAGGACAAGATAAGGGAATTGGCTTAGGGCTAAATTATATTTTGATGTTTAAGACTGTTAAACATTGCTATCATATACACTACAGCAAGTCATTGAGCCATTAGATATATTTTTATCCTCACATAAAATATTTTAGTTACATATAAATCAACACAGAATCTGAGACTCAAAACTGTAGGTACCTTTTGTAAGACTGTTTTGCAATAGTAGAGTAGCCCTCAAAATGGTTCTAAAGCCTCTTTTTTTAGTATGCAATTATCAAGTGAAAAGGAAAGTCAATATCATTAGATATAATTGACATATAATTAGCATATTTAGTGTACAATTTGAAAAGTTTTGACTTGTGTATACCCATGAGGCAAATTCCATAATTAATATAATGTAGATATCCATTACCCCTAAATATTTTTGTGCTACTTTATAACTGATTATTTTTTCTTTTCTATTTTAAAGAGAATAAAACAAACAGAACAAAGCAGATTAGAACAGAACAATGCAATAATAAAGGACTTCCAGACAAGATAACATGAAATCAACAATGGCTACTATAATGTCTCATTTTCTTCAAAATAGCTGTCCATACCTTCACACACAATAAATTCAAACAAAACTAAATAGTATAAAACCAATTAAAAGAAAAGAATGACAGCATTATGGGACTTCAAAACAAGACAACAGGAAATCAACAATGACTACCATAATGTCTCTTGTTTTCTTCAAAATAATTGTGCATACTGTCATACATATTGAAATCAAATAATAGAAAACAGACTAAAACAAAGATAGCATTATAGGACTTCAGAACAAGATGATAGGAAATCAGCAATGGCTACCATAATGCTTTATTTTCTTCAAAATAGATGTACATATCATCACACATAATAAAATCAATTCTTATAAACTCTTTACAAAAAAGCTGTGTAAGCTTATATACATACACCTATCCTTTCTGTGTTAGAAAGAAAAACAAAATACAAAAAAATTGAGTAATAAAAGAGAAATAACAATAACAAAGAACCCAAAACAGTAACAATGAATTTCCCCAATGGTTGTACTAGTCTACACTCCCACCAACAGTGGAGAAGACTTTCTTTTTCCCCACAGCCTCTTTAGCATTTGTTATTGGTGGTTTTCTTGATCCTGGCTATTCTTTCTGGAGTGAGATGAAATCTCAGTGTTGTTTTAATTTGCATTTCTCTAATGACTAATGATGCCGAACATTTTTTCATATATTTGCTATTTGTACTTCTCCAACTGAGAAGTATGTATTCATCTTAGATGCTCATTTTTGGATTGGATCTTTGAATTTTGGGGGCCTGATTTTTTTAAATTCTTTTTTTAAAATTTTATTTAAAGAAAGACTAAACAAAACAGAAAGTGGGTAGAAATAATACATACTTTCCAAGAAAAAAATAAACAGTAAGAAATCACTAGTTGATGATTACAGATTGTCCTCTTACAAATAGTTATTCAAGATACTAAAGTGGAGCATATAAAGTGGGGACTCAAACAGTGAGATTGCAACCAGTTCTGTTCAACTATCCAGCAAAAACTTAGAAATATGGTTATCAATCCTAACACTTAACAGTTATCCATATCTTCAATTATGTTGAGACTCAACAAACCCAAGCAGGCTAATATCACTCTGAACAAAAAATACTATTGCTGTAACATTATGACACTCCAGGATCAGCACTGGGTAATTTAGTGTCTCTTTTTCTTCAAAGTACTTGTACATTTCATCATGTGTCATAAGATCAGTTCTCATGGACTGTTTATAGGTTCTACACATGCTTGAGTCTTAACATATATTTCTATCCTTTCTATACTAGAGGGAGAAACAAAACAAAGCAAGACAAAATAAAACATATTCCTATAAACACATGAAATGAAAAAGACATATATGACCATGTACAAGTGATTCTATCACAGTTCCTGTGTTGTCTCTTGTTATCTTCAATAGAATTGGCTATATCATCAGACATAGTATAATTGAATATATCAGCCCACAACAGTATTAATAAAAACACAACTTTGTATATAGTATACAACTTCAAAAACAGGCAGTAAGCCTGCACCAACCTCCCAGCTTCCTGCCATGCTTGGCCGACTCTGGGGATTTTGGGCCTGCCTGTGCCCTAATTCTGGATACTGGGTGGCCTAGGGTAAGGGCCCCTGCACCATCCTGAGCCCCAGGAGGGAGTTTAAGATCTTTCCTCCTGCTGGACAGGGAACTTCACAGCTTCCTGCCACACTGAACTGGCTCAGCAAAGTTTGGGCCTGCCTTCCAGCAGCCACAGTGAACTTCTTTCAATCTGGGGAACTGGGTGGCAGAGTCCCAGGAGCTGAGAGCATAGAAAAGAATTTCCAACAGACCCAGGGGAAGCCTTGGAATAACACTTGAAACACAGAAATATAGGAAAATGACAAAATGAAGGACCAAAATACAATCTCAAGCCTCCAGCATATTCCAAGAAAACTTAGGAGCTACGTACATAAAAGAAAACATATGCCATACACCTGAAATACCTAAAATAATAGCAACTGAAATGAAGAAGCTTTAAAGGAATTCAAACTAGAAATAATCTCCCAGGTAAAAGAAGAAATGAAACAGATCCTGAACACTTCTAAAGATGACACAGTTAAAAAATTGGAGGAACTAAACAAAAAGATAGAATACCTGGATGAGTAATATAAGAAACAAATAGAATACATAAAGCAGATGCAAAGAGATATACAGGAAATCAAAAATTCCATTGAAAGTTGTAAAAACTGCATCAATGAAAGTGAAGATAGA